CCAAGTATATCACAGTACCTTAAATCCCAAGTGCTGCATGTACCAGGACTTTCTCAAGTGGTTTTAGGACTACTCTACAACTCCATGATTATGCTTCACTTCTTAGTGAGTGAGCCTGCAACACATTTACTGCTGAGGATTCATTTGTTAATTATGGACAGAGCATTGCCCAGGGTCACCAAAAAAAAAAAAAAAAAAAAAAAAAAAAGTGACTCAGCAAACCACCCTTAACTGAGTTTGTGAAATCAGACAAGAAAAGGAGAAGTGCTGATCATTGGCAGAGTCAAGCAGCACACAAAGCAAGCAGCTGAGATATTAAAGAGAGAACAAGGCTATAATTAAAGTGATGTAGCAATATGACGTACAGATCTCCATGCAGTGATTCCAGCATGCTGTGTAGGCAACCAGCCAGAGCCATGAGACTCCAACAGTGCATTCTTCAATGAGCTTAATTACGGAGTCCTGGCTGCTTCCCCTCAGGTACTAGAAGAAAAGGCAGACTGAGGAAAGCAACTGAGGAGACTCAGAGACTCAAGACTGGCAACTGATTCTGCACTGAAAGGAGCTATATCTCAGCCCAGCAAGTGGCATCACTCAGATGGGGGTAAAAAAAACCCATGAGTCACACAGGAAGCAGTGAAATCTCCAAGGACAGCACTGGGAGTTGATTGCTCCACTTTTATTTCTCTCTTACTTGGGCATGAGGACAGAGAAATGTGCCCAGCAGCACTTGATGCCCACTGTCCCTTGTGCCAGGAGACTGACATGAATCTGAGACTGCATGGGACTGAGCCTGGTCAAAGGCGTCTGGAAATCAGTTTATTGTCCACGCTACTGAGGACAGTAGCATTCAGAAAACCCATCCAGAGGAGAAATTAAAAGCTTGGAAAGATCATGGCTAGCTAAAGAGTAAGTGCCTAGCTTCTGTGCGATTGACCCTACGCTACTGAGCTGCTTTTTTAGAATAGGATAATTTAGACTGGAAAAGAAGTTACATAAAGTTTTCATAGTCATAGATGAACAGCTTCGAAAAAAATATATGTGGACAAATGAGAGGTTTTGCATAAAAATACATTCTCTTCGATGCACAAAACATGTAGGAAATTATTTCATGACCTCTAAAACCAGAGCACACCACCGAAATGAGCTTTATGCGAGCAGCAGGGGTTTCTAGTAGTGCTCGATCACCGAAAGAGCAGGGAGGATCCCACATACCCGCTGTCCTTTGGGTGACATCCACGGAGGCAAAACCATACCTGAAAGCCAACCAAGCCCAGGGACCTCTGCACAGACATGAGTTTGTACACAAGGAAGAGATCGCTGTACGCCCGTGTACTAGTGTTGTTTCTTCGCCTCTGAAATGAGTTCAGTAACCATCGGCCACACCTTGAAACCTACTGTTCTGTGATTTACTAATACCTCGACCTGAATCAACCGCCTGTGCCAATCTCACTTCAGAGCAATTTGCGCAGCTGCAGAGCAGTTTATGTGCATTGGCACCTGCACCACTGGAGAGACGCTGGCGCTGACGCCGGCTGTCAGGAAACAACATGTCAGGAGCAGCAGATAGCCAAGCCACCGCTATTAACACCGAGCAGCCACTCCAGCAAGTTCTAGTGCCGCTTCGCTGCTCATGGTTGCATTCCTTTCAGTATAATTTGACCTTAAAATGATTCATATGAAAGAAAAAGCTGATCTCTACAGACTGAGGAGTGATCTTTACACAAAACCAATTATCACTGAACTGCCTGTTCTGTTACACAGCGAATGGCTCTTACAAAACTCCCTTAAAAACCTTGAGCAGATCTTAAATCAGCTGGTTGCCACTAAAATGAAACAAGCTGGAAGACTAGCAGGTGATGGAAGCAATTCCTCCCCGCTGCCTCCCCCTGGCTGCCCGATCAGCCCGGACGAAGCCTGGCCTTTCCTCCTGCAGCTGGCACAGCAGCACAAAAGCTGCCTGTCACCTTCTCCTCAGTTCTGTGACCAGTTCTGCTTATCAGGCTGGTACAAAACATTTCCACACCGCCAGCTCACCCCACATAGAACACTTCTCCATGTGCCCTTCCCACAGGCACACTTTGGCTACAGGCATCTTGCAGCCCTTATTTTTAGTTAACCCTGAAACCTGCGGGCTGAGAACACCCAGCAGCTTCCCCAGCGGAATTACTCGACACCACAAATGACAGTATATTTACACTGGCGCTCCATAAACCCACAAACCTGTCACATTTCCTACCACCTCTCCTATTTGTTTGTTTTTCATTTCCCTGTAACTCTTTTGAGGAAGCAAAGAGGAGACGCGAGGTGGGGTTTTGCCATCATTCCCTTTCATTTGAAATCACAGAAAATGCACTGATTTTCCAGTAGTGTATGATTGTGGCCATCTACTCAAATCAAAATGAGCGACTCCAGAGGAAGACTGCAACTATTGGAGAAATGGAGGAAAACGAAAGGAAAAGGGACCGCTGCACAATCGCCAACGCTGCAGGAGGAGCCACAGCCTCCTCAGGACACAAGGAATATCTCACCAAGGTGGTGAAACTTACTTTTCTGTAAGATTTTTATATCTCTCCTGAAATGTTTCCCATCCACCCCCAAGAAAAAGTCAAAGTGTTGGTGGGGATGCAGATGAGAGGACCTGTTTGAGTTCATTGAGTACAGCTGTTTGTAAGTTATTTGATTACGGGGACAGCGCCGGGGCAGGACAGCAGAGGAGTGACAAAGCAGAGGTAAGGGCAAACCTTACCACCCAAAAAAGAGCCACACAGATTTTTACACAAGGATAAAAGGAGGCAACTGGAGAGGAAGCCTGGAAGGAGAGGGACACCTGACATCCAGCGTTAAGCCAAGACTAAGCAGCAAAGCAGCATTTTAATTTGTGTGTAACAGCCCAGACATGCTTTTTGGCACATCCATATATTAAGATGGGGACTGCAGAGCCAGCAGTGCTGCACAGAGCTCCTGCTACTGCTAAAAAGCCCCAAATCTCAAACCTCCCTGAAGATTTCTAGGTGCTGTGACACTCTGCTTCCCAAAGCTGTTCTAAAAACACAGGACACCAGGATGGGGTGAGTGTTCTCAGTTTCTCATATAGAAACCACAAGGCTCGGCTGTTTATTAATGTAGCTATTGACAACATAGAATCAGGTAATGTATACATCTAATATGTGTGGCACAAACAGCTATGCACTGCAGGCATAACAGCTCATATAGATACCTGCATCATTTTGTAAACTCACAAGTGTCTCATATTTAGCCATTTTTGGACCATTATATTTTTTAATAAAAATTAGTTTATCTTTTTTTCGCAAGTGTAAGAGATTTGGTATTAACAGAATAATTTTACGAGCCTTCACGTAGTCACACACTCTAGTTATCTGAGCCTTCATGGGGTTTTTTGTTTGGCTGGTTTTTTAAGTCAGATGGCCTCATCACCAATGCAAAGGTCTAATCAAAACAAAGTACTTACTCTGAACACTTGCATTCTCCCCACTGAAAACAGGGTTGGTTTTTTTTTTTTCTTTGTCTTGCAGACTTATTTACACTTTATTTTAAAAGCTAACTGCTGCAGTACAGAGTGGTAACAGCACTACCTGAATACAAAACACAGCGTAACCCCTCTGCTCCGAACGGGGTTTGATCACCGAAACCAGAAGTCGGTTGTATTTATCAGTGAACACGGCCCCTTCGCCTTCTGAGTCACAAAGGGAGAGATACACCAGCTCCCTCCCTGCGCACAAACAGTGATAACACAGCACGACTTGCACCAAACACTAAGTAAACCATTATTATTAGAAGTTACTTTCTATTTCAGGTCGCTTAGGGAAGACAGCTTTTACCCGCCAAAAAGCAGCAGCAAGGTCAGCGACGTGCCCTGTTAAATCACACCGGCGACCGAACGGAGGGCAGCGAAGGCTCGCGCCCTGTACGCGCCGAGCAGCAGCACGACCCAGTACCTGCCTGTTTTAATCACAATCTGACTCAACCAAGCCACCTTGAGATCTAGGAACTTTTGACGAGAATTTCTGACTGAACGTTTCCCCTTCCCTCCGGCAGCCTAATTACCCGAGAGGAATGTGACTCAAGCTCTCGGTGACTGCGAAGGTCCTTTGCAGGTTACGCAGCAGCAGAACAGCTCCGGCTCTACAGTCGCTTACCTGTGTATGGTCAGAGGAGAAGTCAAACGTACCTTTCACCGAGCCCTGGAAGAGGCATGACAGCATTGCGCTGGCTGACAGCTACCTCTGCTCCTTCATGGATCCCACAGAGCTGCTAATTACTATTTTGCTTAACAAACTGGGAGTGCTGGAAACCCAGGACACTCCCTGAACCTCGGTGCATGTCGGGAATATTTACCTACCCGCTTTCCCTCCTCCTGTGCGCTGACAGGAGCTCCCTTAGTCATGGTTACACCTACAGGGAGGCTCCAGTTAACACTTTAATCACTAACTTTTATAAAGAGAGGCAACCTACAGACTCTTAGTAATTATTTACTGACAGGGCGCACCCTGAACCATCCCGTGCCAAAAGCACTGTTATGCTTTCGCTAATCCATAGGCTAAAGTAATTTTTCCTTTTCCAGAGGTATGCAAGTCTTTAGTGGAATAACCAATTCATACAATCAGATCATGCTGAAGTATAAAATGTATGGATTTATAACATCATGACAGCAACTGTGACAACACAGCTTGACCACTCTGACCTGCAAATATTTGATTCTTGCTCACATCATTATCCTCTAGCAAGACTCAGACTCACTGCTGTGCACACACCACTAGATGC